TCAGTCTGTGTGCATTTAATTTATTTAATACACGAGTTTCACAATTTGAGTTGAATTACTGAAATAAATGAACTTTTCCACGACATTCTAATTTATTGAGATGCACCTGTATTGGATACATATCTCTTAAAGTGACCGTGCCTGGCTTACTAGCTGCTGTCGGTGTCCTTAAAGTTAATCCAAGAAAATGAAAGAGAGAAAATCACCCACAGCTCCTGACTGAATTGCAGTTTTAACAACAATTAATCTATATTTAATTTATACAGTGAAGACAATGCAATGCTATTTTACATTTGATTGTTCGGTTTCTGTACCTGGACACCTACAAACTTGAAAAAAATTAAAAAAATACATCGTGTAAATAGCACAAATAAATAAATAGAACAAACATACAAATTAAACAATTGTAAACAGGGCCCACGGGTACAACCCCTACGGCCCTGGTGTCATAACAGCTGGTTCAAGCGTAAAGAATACCTGCAAGACATTTGTTTTGACCATAATCCACACACCAGAGCTGAATGTGGATGTGGGACACCCCATAATTTGCACGTCCCTCCGAAGGGAGGAGAAGCTCGTCGGCTTTGGTTAAAAGCCTCAAACTTAAAGTCCCCATGAAATCAAAATTAAAGTTTTTTGGGTGTTAGTATCAATAGGTTATCTATAAAGCAGTGTGCTCCGAAACAGTGACAAAATTCGCTGCTTTAGAGCTGAAATTAAAGAAAATATATTAAATATGTTAACAATTATAAATTCCTACAAGACCAGAAGCAGAGAGTGCTACACGGGTGTCTTTATATAGCCACTTGTGCTCATTGGATGTGATGGAGGAAAACATCAAATTACGTAGACGAAATACTTCCAAGGCACTCACTTGGTAAGATAAAAAGCCTTTAATAACCTGGCCTTAAATCGTAGTCTTAGCCACACCCACATATAAACCAGCTGCCTTTGATGATTCATTAATTAACACTAATTTAAAAATACCTGTTTGAGCAATTGATGTGTGTCCTGAAGAAGGCTGTTTTGCCGAAACGTGTAGATCTACTTTTAACTAGTTGTAATGATTTAAGCCCAGTTTATTAAAGGCTTTTATCTTACCAAGTGAGTGCCTTGGAAGTATTTCGTCTACATAATTATAGATTCCTGTTTATTGCTGTGAAGCTGCTTTGAAACAATCTATTATTTCATTCAACATTTCATTAGCATTAATATTTTGCATACATTTCAATAAGGAAAATATAATTGAATATTTGTAACTGAACTAAACATATGGGGAAAATATGATATTATAAAAATGTTATGTTAAATTAGCAAAGAGACACGTTTCTGAATTTTTCTGAAGATTAAAAAATATTCTTAAAGGTGCAGTAGGAGATCTTGGAAAATGCTAACGTTAGCCCGATAGCACTGAAAGCGAACGTCCCACCCTCCCTGCAATCGCCGTCCAAGAGGACTGGAATTGGGAACCGCTGTGCTACATCATGTGTCATTCACCGGTGAGAAAACTTTAAATGTACTACAATACCAGGAAGGAAGATCGGGTTGTTGACGTTTGTCTGCCATTCTCGCTCTTGTCTGCTCTGCACAGCGTGCGTGAACGTGCTGATGATGTATCGTGTCTGCGCGAACCCGGTGCGCAGAGGTATGCTAATACATATTTGACAGGCAGGTAGGAAAGCCAATTAAAAGGCTCGAACCGAGCGTTTTGATTGGATGAACATTTCTTGGTCCTACGCCTTCCACAGAATATATAAATACATTTAGATCACTTAACTTAATGATTGCTATCAGGATGTGAAGAGACGTTCAACCAGCATAACAAAAAATGTTTCTGAAGATAATCACCTATTGCACCTTTAACTTTTTTTCTCAAGTTACAAAACAATAATTTTGTTCATAATGTTGTGAGTCTGGCACCATCTTATAAAATGTATATTTTTCTTCATGAACTCTAGAGACTGTTAATAGATCCTCTAGTAAAGGATAGATAATGGTAGTGATGTGACGTTCGACACCGAGGCTTCGAAGCTTGTATCAAAAAAATGAAACATCTCACAGTAAAGCACTGTACCGGAGCTTGATTTGTTTTGCCAAAACCACGTGATCTGTGACGTCCGAAGCTTAGTTTTCGCACACAACCACGTGACTGCTTCGTATTCTGCTTCAAATAACGCAAACCACTTGCGCAGTTTCAAGTGTCACTCACGTCTTTGAAAAGAATAAATCATAAGAATAAATATTTGCATACATGCATGTGTCAAGTAATGAACCTTTTTACGATACAGTTGAGGGACAAGCCTTGGTGCTTTGCAAAGCTTCATTTTTTTACTAGGTAATGAAAGCTCTTTGAGGAACTTGAAATTGTCACGGTGCACTACTGTGAGGAGCTCGGAGACAAGGAGTGGAATTCAAACATATAGGAAAACACACGTAGCAAGGATAGACATATACAATTCCTGACAAGGGAGAACAGGACGGGCTAGAACTCAAATAGGGCAGATAACGAGGGGCAGACAGGTGAGGAGGATAACTAATAATGAGAAACACCTGGAACTAATAGAACTAAATGGGGACAGGAACAGGAAGGACCAAATAAGGACAAGGAAACACATGGGAAAACCAGGACATGGAAAACGAGGGGAGCAAAACATGGAACAGAGTCTGACAGAAAAACATATTTAAATTCCTGAAGAGCAATAATTATATTTGAGGTTCAATGTTTCAGTCGGAAGGAACACAAATGGAGCCTCAAGTGTCTTTTCATTTTACCCTGTTGAGTCTGTTCTGGATTTCAGTAGATGAAGAAAGAAGAAACATTTTTTTTAAGTTGATTCACTTACTACAAACTGAAGTTATCTAGTGTTTTTATGTCCTGAAAAACTGAATGTGTGCGAGCTCAGATCTTCTGCAGTCAGTCTCACTGTTCTGGGCGATGTCCTGCATCTTCCTCCAGACTCTGAACGGCAGGTTCCACATACGCCGTTTTAACAGTAGCCACGTTTACATGTACACTTTTTTGTCATTCCGATTAAAATCATTCTGATTGAAAGATTCGGTGGACTGTTTACATGAGACGTTATCTAATCCGATATGGTGTTTACATGTGTAAATTACATGTTTACGTGTCATTTGTAGTTTTATTTTTTTTAAATGCATGATCGTATGGAATGAAAGTTTAATGACATTTGTAAGCATTAACTAATGATCCATTAAGCATTATATAATATTTGTTAATGATTTATTAACAAAGGTCAAGGTCAAGTTTATTTATATAACACCTTAAAAGCAACTAGTGCTGACCAAGGTGCTGCACAAACAAAATATCAGAAATATTTAACTAATAATATAACTAATAATAGCTAACAAAAGCATTAAGACAATATAACATTTGAAATCATGAAATAATACAATAAGTAATGCAAAACATCACCATACAAAGAAACAAATAGAAACAAGACTGTAACCAGTGAAGTGAAACTAACAAAGGGGTAATATGCTCCCTCTTTTTTGTCCCTGTCAAAAATCGAGCAGCATCATTCTGTACCAACTGTAAACGTGATAGTGAAGACTGGTTAATTCCAGCGTAAAGAGCATTACAGTAATCCAGCCTGGTTAAAATGAATGCATGAATAACAACCTCTAAATCATTAAAACTGAGAAAACTTTTCAGCTTGCGAAGAATGTTTCTATCCTCTATTCATTGTGGTCATGTGACTGTGTCTGTGACAGTAATGTGCCAAATGGTGAGCGGTTGATATGTACTCAGTTTATAAAAAAAATACATTTTTGAACTCAATAAAATGCTAAACCACCGTTAAATACATTTTTTTTAACAACTAAGCTTTTGATTATTTATAACATTTCATTAAAGATAATTTTCATAGAATGATTTCGGCAAAATGGCGCCCCCTCTGTGCGGCGCCCTTGTGCACTGCATATACTGAAATCCCCCATTTTTGCACCACTGAGTACCGTATGGCCAGGATTGGGGAGTAATGGAATACATGTAACAACGTTACGTATTTAAAATACAAAATATGAGTAAATGTATTTCGTTATAGTTACTTTTTTAAATACATGATAATCAAATTAGTTACATCCGAAATATATTAGATTATCTAAGTGATTACTTTGAATTTTAATGTCATTTATTTCATTTAATATTAATAGAAATTGTTTGGGAATTTTTAACCAATGAGGCAATGCTGATTCTTTGATTCGCTTTAAAAAAAACAACAACAAAAAACGTGTGCAGCCTGTTCAGTTAGTGACTGTTCGAGGTGCATCGGTGCTGCGCAGAATGATCGGTGTATGACATCAAAATACAGCGAGAGCCATTCAAAAGCATAAAGAGTCGTCTGCTATATTATGGCTCTCGCGGTACTTTGATGTCATACACCGATCGTTCTGTGCATCGCAGATGCATCTCGAACAAGCCTAATAACTACAACTGACTTCAGCCACAGCCTTAGATGAAATCAAATGAAATAATGAAGACATTAAATCTCTCAAGATCTCAGCAGAGGAGGATTAAACGACTCCACAAACAGCATCACCAGCTTTACTCATTACTAACCAGACTGACTTTATTTCTGCCAGACGACTACAGAAGCTCTTATTGGGAATTAACAGAGGTTTGGATGTTGATGTCTTATTGCAAATGTTTAGTTTGAAATTACCATCAAGGAGATCAGCATTTGATTTAGCATAGCTCTTGATCCTTGACTTTTTGACATTAGTATTTCTCTGGCTGCTGTAATTGTGTGTTTGTAAAAATACATTTGTTTCAGCAAAGAAAGTCCAGAGAAAATCTGGTCTTCAACTGCGGCTCAGCCAATCACTGTAAAGTTGTTTTAAATGTAGTTTTACAATCAGTCAGTTTTAAGAAATACTATATTAATGCATTTTTGCTGAACACTTGTTATCATATCATAGAAATCTTAATACTAGAAAACAGGGCCAAAAATATTTACATTTTAGCTTGCAAGAAAAATGACTAGATAAACTCATTGTTTTGTTGTTTCTCACTGAACTCCACACATGGTCTGCCTTGCTAGTTTCCGTGTGGCTCTGATTGCAAGTCGAATGGCTTCTGTACGACTGATTCCTTTGCTCTCAGCTTCCTTCAACACACTCTCTTTCTCCTCAGGCGTCACTACCACTTTCTTCAGAAGTTGGGCTACAGCTGCTATGCATGCATCAGAAAATGACTGCTCAGCTTCATGTCGTGACTCGTCTACTAAACGCCAGTATATTTTCTGCCATTCTGTTTGATTGCACTGTTTATGCTTCTGTTTGAACTGCTTCACTTTCTTATCCAAGTTTTGCTTCTGAATCTCCTGAATTTGTTTCTCTGTTTCATCAAACATGTCATTGGTGAAGTGCATTCCTCCATTTTCCTGCACCATCATCTCTATTTTTTCGATCAGATACTTAAACTGTGGATAACTGGCAGAGTTGTTGTCCAGACAGAAGAATCGGTTTCCACAACTCTGTACGAGTTTCTTAAGAACTGGTTCACTTTCCTGTAGAAACTGCTCAATGGATTTCTTTTGTTTCTCTAACTGATCTTTGTAAGTGAAGAGAATCATGGTGTATTTTTCCATTTGTTCACCAAACACTTCTTTGAGTTGCTCCACTGCTTTTTTATTTTCCTCAGTGAATCGATCCACTTTAATGACGATAATAAAAGCATGTGGTCCTGGAGAGGCATATGTTATGCATTTCACTATTTCATTTTGAACCTTTTCATTATTGAGTTCAGTATCGTAAAGTCCAGGCGTGTCGATCACCGAGATCTCTTTACTGATCCTCACTGTAGTTTCAGACTGGCATTGTTTCGTCTGAGAGTTTGAACTAGAGAAGGATTCAAACACGTTTCTGCCGATGATGGTGTTTCCAGTGGCACTTTTCCCAACTCCAGTTTTTCCCAGCAGAACCAACCTGAGATCTTTCCTCTCAGGCATCTGATGATGCTCATTTGAAACTTCTGTTGAACTGTCTCCTGAAACTACAACAGAAAGATCAAATCACTAACTGTACAGACTCCATGGATTCTTTCCTTAAAAGAGTAGTTCACCCAAAAATGAAAAGTGCTGTTCTAATGGTGTGGCCTTTCTTTTTCAAATGACAAAAAGAAAACTGCACTACAGTCATTTGTGACCCTGGACCACAAAACCAGTCATAAGGGTAAATTTTTTAAATTGAGATGTATACATCATCTGAATGCTGAATAAATAAGCTTTCCATTGATGTATGGTTTGTTAGGATAGGACAATATTTGGCCGAGATACAACTATTTGAAAATCTGGAATCTGAGGGTGCAAAAAAATCTAAATATTGAGAAAATCATCTTTAAAGTTGTTCAAATTAAGTTCTTAGCAATGCATATTACTAATCAAAAATTAAGTTTTGATATATTTACGGTAGGAGATTTACAAAATATCATCATGGAACATGATCTTTACTTAATATCCTAATGATTTTTGGCATAAAAGAAAAATCTATAATTTTGACCCACACAATGTATTGTTGGCTATTGCTACAAATATACCCCAGTGACTTAAGACTGCTTTTGTGCTCCAGGGTCACAAATATTTTATGGCAGTGAGCAGCAACAAGCTTCATGCTTTAAAAAAAAAGGGATGGAAAAGTTTACTTCCATGTGACTATATTTTAATGCTGTTCTCTGGAATTCTGGAGTGAATTTTCTTGCTGATATTGTCTGAATAGTATTGATCATGCAGCTGAGCACAGCAGACCAATGGCCAAGGTTGGGATTTTCACTAAAAATGAATTAAATTAGTTCATTTTTCCAGAAAACCTTGTCTTATGTGAGTATTTTATCATATTTTTGCATTTTTAGCTTAAAACCACAGTTGCTATTCACTGTCATTATATGGACAAGTGCAAGCAAGAAATTTCTTTATTTTCTCCTCTTGTGGGGCATATGGTTTTAGAACAACTCTAGAGTGTCGTTTTAGCAACATCTGTGATTGGTGATTGGTGATTGGTCCAATTTGTAACCAGAGTCTGTGCTTCACCAGCGAGGTGAGGACTCTGGTCAGAACATGGGATTTGGTGTTTAAGTCTGGGGACCTGCATGCCTACAAAGAGGCACAAACAAACCTAAAGAGGGGCATCAGAGAGACCAAACCACTGGTACAAACAACACAGAGAAACACTTTTCCAGTAACAACTCCAGATGTATATGGCGAGGGATTAAAAAACTCTTACTGGCTATAAGGACAGCTACACAGACACCACAGACGGCACATTGCCAGACACTCTGAACCATTTATTTGTTCACTTTGACCTCCAGGACAGAGATGTAAGCACCCATCCTGCATTTCTTGGTAAGGACGACCCCATACAGTTGCACCAACATGACAGATCATAAAATAATCTTAATTAAATTATTATGGGATCTCCTTCAATGCTTTCAGAATCTATACATTTATAAGATTTTTTAACTTTTAAGATTGTTTTTTTCCACACAAAATATGTTGCTCCATCAATGTTTAATAATAAAAAATAAAATACAAAAAATTCTGCAATCATACACTATGGGAGAAGTGAAAAGCTCATTTTTCGAGAAGGGTCTGGCTGCAGCCTCGCACTTGCATTCTCAGACTTGCACTCTCAGACACTTGCGCTTCCGCTAGCGACGTCACTTGCAGTCTTATTTATTTTGTTCTATTTATTGATTACTTTTTGTTTGAATCTCTCAACATTGTACAACAGTAGCCAAGTGGTGAAGACAAGACAAAAGAAACTAAATTACGAAGTCACTTGCAATCGGCGCTTGCACTCTCCGATACCTGCGACGTCACTTGCAATCGACACAAATCGTGCGTGTTGC